CAACTACGATTAAGCAACAGTTTACTTTACCTTTGTACTTTCGGTAACAATGCATTGAGTTAAAGAGTACGCTTTAATCATAGGCCAGCAAAAGACATTAAAGGCCCAAAACACACTATGTTAGTCCACCTCTCAGTAGCCCCAAAGGTTCTTATTACAGAATCTCAAACATCTGGACAAGGACATTTGTGGCGAACAGTACTCAAATAGAAGTAAATAGTACATTTCTTCTTTTTTTTTTTTTTTTAACTCGCAGTGGATTAATACACATGTTGTGTATACTGAGTATGTACAGCAGCAGGACAGTGTTTGGATATACAGTACTTGACTAATTAATTGATGGTTTTGGTCTTTTCTATGATTAAAAAAGTAAAGTAACAAGAAAACAACAACTCCATGATAGAATGTGAGACCTACTGTATTTATAAAGCATTCTTAGCTTTACAATAGCAATAGTATTCATTTGGACACAAAAATTAGGCAGATCATGTGCAGTTTTCTGATGTCAGTCCCCCTCTTTCTTTAGGTATTTCTCGTATTTCTGCAGCGTCTACAGTTTGTTTCTCCTGTAGATTCACTTTCCCAAACAACTGTAAACTTCACTGATCCCTTCGCTGTAAACAAACACACAGAAACACACATATTCGCACACCCACACACTGCCAATCATCAAGCATACTGTCAACCCACACACATTCCTCATTAATGTCTCCTTCTCATTAGTTTATAATCACATGTATTAATTAGTTTGATGAAGGACTATCATTAGACTAGAGCTCTAACTAGGCTCTATCTTTCTTTCTGTGTTACTAAACAGCCATCAGGAAAAAACGCTGTCATTACCAGCTGATGGAAACACTAACCTGCTGTCATTAAGCATCCATTGCAGGATCTGAATATTAAATATCAGTTTTGTCAGTCTAAGCACTGATAAATGACCTCCTCTTACCTTTTACTTAAAAAGCAGTCATTTCATCAAGATCGCAGCTATTTTTTTATTATCTTTTTATCAGTTATATATTGTTTTCTAGACCCTCTCCCTTCACAGATTTGACTGCACTTTGAGTGTCAGAACTTTTTTAACTAATGTTCAGTTAACAAAAATGGATAAGAAGTGTATAACTGGATTTGTGGAGGTTTGCTACAGAAGAAGGTAATTCGATTCAATTGAGGGCAATAAAGTGATAATAGGTTATGAAATAAACAAAATAATGTGTAGTGTTGTTTGAACTTGTTTGAAAGTACAAACCGGGGTATAAACGGTACCGCAATAAACGACTGCTGAAATCTTTAACAGCTTGTGTGTTTGTGTTTTGTGTGCAGGAATGGGCCAGTGTGGACTCACCTACAGAGACGGCCTCCAGATCCCCTTTATGGACCTCGCTCTCCACATTCACAACCCCGATCCATCCCTACCATTAGGACATTTGGTGTTTTCTTTCGCTCCCTCTCCGTCTCTCTCTTTCTCTCTGTCTGTTTATACTTTTTCGAGTTTATCAATATAGCGTCAGCTGGAGTAACACAGCAGGACAGGAAGGGCTATTTCCCCCCTTCCTATTTCATGTTCAGCAGTTAAATGTACAATTTTACAGGATATGATGTTTGTTTGATCTTACATGTTACTGAGCCAGTGAATCTAAATAAAGATGTGATTATTATTTTTTATATGACATGTGTTCCATGTGGTGGATAACTTACCTTAAGGTTACCTTCAAAGTGTATCCTTGACCTCGAAAAAAGCAGATGTGAAAACAATCCTACCACAAGCTGCTTTAGTAACAGCTTCTAAATGGATCGTTACCATTATCATTCATCATGGAGTTTTATTTACAGTTTTGCAAATGACTATAGCTCTGATATCTAATATGTAAAAATGAAAACATTGTATGTAGTCAATTACCCGCCTCTTTAAACACATTGAATAGATAATAGTCTTGTTAAAATCTGATAACGGGACATCCCTACAATCTAGTTCCTGCATCAGGACCTTAGACTGTATGCATGTTGGTAAGAAAAATGTAATATATGCTTGCATACTCATGCGACACAGTGTGTTAAGATTGTGAAGAAAACGACAACCAACAACTCTTTCCCAAATTGTCCTGCTGTAGTTGTGCTAAGTATTCTGCAGAGGGCACCATTTAGATATAATTGAAAGTAAAACAAAAAAACACAAAAGGCACAACACAAGGAATGTTATTCATCAAGTTGTTCTCCTTATAATGAGAAAAGGTCCAAGGTTGAGTGGAACAATGTGACTTTGACATATATGGGAATATCTACACAATGTAACAAGCGGATATTTGTGCTGAGCTTTACTCTTTACTACATTGTGAGGGGACAAACTTAAGGACATTATGGCTGTCTTTATATCTACAGTGTATTGGTACATTCTAAGTGAATGTGCTGAGACTTCAATACGTAGCGAAAGTAAAACAGTAAAAGGACTCAGGAGGGAGAGACGCCTCTCACCTGTTTGTATGGTTTTATGGCGGATAATAATTCTGCAGAGAAGGGCTGTCATTGTACTTCAGAAAGCAACAACAAACAGACTCTGTGTTAGTACTGAGTTTTATTACATATCACTGGCCTTTCACAGCACAGTTGCAGTAATGCACGGGGGAATGTATGTATTCATTTCTCTTTTATAGACACAGACAAGATGAAAGTTGAGGATGTAAATCATTTCATAAATGTTAAAGTCAGCTTCATTTGCCATGTCTGAGTCACTCTTCCTGTGTGCATTCACATGTGAGCTGATGCTCACACAGTGAAGATATTCAGCTTCAGATAATGACGTTCGGCTGATTTGTTTGTATAAGAGGCAGAATAACGATAAGAGGCTTGAGCCATGTGATGAATTCAAGTGGCACCTTAATTTGTACCCACAGTTCACTGGCTTGTGACAGCCTCACCCTGTGTGCATAATGTGAGCCATGAGTCAGGTTTATATCAGATGACACTGGCAACCCTGAAAGTCATGGTAATTGCTCTTTGATGCCACCCCATGCTGTGTCTCCAATGTAATAGCCTAAAGTGTGTATGCAGAAACTGAACTGTGCCGAAATCTGAAAATTGTTGGAAGATTGTCAACAGGTTTGGGTTTATAATTGATTTTGATCTGTTGCAATACACTTTCTAATGTGGCACAACCTTCTCATGTGATTATCGTCATAGATTTGGACAAGTACTGTAAAGTCTGTTGCTTTGTCCATTTTCTTGCACTCCTCTGACACATTAGCTCAAGGCCTTGACTGCTGTCGATTTGAAAGCCTTCTTCATTGGCTTTTCAGGAACATTCGATACTATTAAGCAGACAGCCTTGTAGAAGATAATCTTATTTCAAGAGCAAAATGTATTGAGTGTTGTATGTTTAACAAAGCGTGAAACTTGATCACAACTATCTTTCCCCCTTCAACACTCTTCACTTACTCACTGCCAAGCACAATAATGCAAACAAATTAATAACTGCCAATTTTTTCTCCTAATGTGTCATTTTGTTTGTTAATGTGAGAACTGATTTGAGAGAAACACATTCTTTCGACTTGTTTAAAGGAAACATTTGTTTTTAAAAATACATACACGTAATGGAAATGTATGTCGGCAGTGAACGACTGTTACAATAAATAGGTCCTCTCCTCCTCTCCATACAGTTAAACACACATTGCATGACATTTGCTTTTTGACTCAGCTCTGCCATTTGATTTACCCTTCTCTCACAGCATCAAATAGTCACACCCACATGAAGCATTATAAAATGCAAAAGGCCCATATGTGAGGACATCAAAATAACAATCGCTGACTTTCTTTTGTTGTCTGCTGACAGTGCGCACACGCACGCACACACACACACACACACACACACACACACACACACACACACACACACACACACACACACACACACACACACACACACACACACACACACACACACACTCTTATATTTGTGTCCCCTATAGACAAAGAGGCATTACAAGAGCAGCGGCTAATCCTTAATACACCAACACAATGCTGCTTCAATGACTTCCTGCCAGCAGGACTTTGGAAGGTGGTGATTATGAAATATTGAGGAAATGAGTTTTGATATGAGCAGGCAATAGACAGGTGTGTGGGTTTCGTTTCTTGGTAACCACATCTGAAAAGCAGCCAGATCAGATTAGATGGATATCAGAGAGATAATGTGGAATGTGCAGTTTGACCCACCTGGATAGGTTGCCATATTTGATTGCCCTTGCATAAAAATGAATCTTTCATCTTAGAATCTGACATTACTCCAAGTAACTACACTGTTTGGTATGACTCTTCCCTTCAGTGACAAGCTTTTAGTCTATCATGGAGTGTAGTTTGTTTGCTATACTTCATTTCCATATGTTGTCAGGCTCCTAAATCACTTAATCTCCTTCCAAGACTTTTGGTAATGTGCCATTGGACCTGGAAGTGTGGTGATGTGAGGGAAGTTGCCTAGTGAGGAATGAAGCTTATTAATAATTTTGAGCACTTAAATTGCTGCAGCTCCACCATAATAATATGTACTGGCAATCTCACTGGGCTCCAGTCAGAATGAGGTGATGAATTATTCACAGGAGATTGGGAGGTCAGTAAAGCGTGGTCTGCTGATCTCACACATACAAAGGTCCACTGTGGCATACTGTATGCTGCTTCATTTTAGCAAAGCCTCCACCTTCTTCAAAGCTGTATCCATGGCGACACATTTTCTCTTTGACCATGGAATGTGTAAAGGGACCCAAAATCAAAAACATAGAGCAATTGGATGTTCAGAGGATCAGTGGCGGTTATGTTGTGGCCATCTCAAAGTGTCTGTGCCCTGACAGAACTGCACCGTGCTGGCTCCATTGTGCAATTCAGACTGCCTTTAATAGTTTAGTGTTTGGTTTTGGTGCATGATTTAGAAAACTATCCTTAAAAGTATTACTTTTACATCATGTATGCCTCAGTCCGATACAAAAATAGTGAAGGAAAATAACAGACACTCGTTATTGTGTGAATCAAGTTTCATTCCAAAATACTTTTTTCCTGCATCATTTGAAAAAACAACAGAGCAACTATTTCTTAAGCATTAGATGTGTATTACAATCCTTTAGCTCTCAAATCCAGATCAGCATTGCACTGTTACAGAAAGGTGCTTAATTTCACTATAATCTAGCTCTTAGTGATGCAAGAAACATAAGAACATAAGTAGTCATTCAAGGTTTACCAATGGTTAACAAATTCAGATCAGTTTTCTATGCACTGAGTAACCATATAAGGAACACCTCAACAAAGTGCTAAAAACAATAATGCTGAAATTCTTTCTCTTAGTGAAACAGTATATTTTTGTGTTAGACTTTTTGCTAAGTATAGACTCTATAATGAATGACCTCTGACACAACCTCATTATAAACTAAACACATTGATCTACAGGATTTATTGCATGACTTTTGTATGGGATTCTATTTGATAATTCAGGTGTAATATAACTCAGGATAAAACATAATTGAAGGCATACAACTGGGGATGACACATTGCTTTTCTAGCTACAAACAGCCCCACTTAATCTATTTTCATCAATACATCACAACTCCTTATTATTACAAGAAGGTTCCAATGATAAAGAACTTAATTCTTACTAAACTTACATTTTTCTTTCCCCCGGTGCAAAGTCATTATTATTTTTTGCCTTTAAAACATTCATTAGTCTTAGAGTTTTCCAGCACAGGAAACAGGCCAAGTGCTTATCCACTAATAGGTGGCCCTCCTCCTTCTTTTTCTCTCCTTCTTGATGGAGGACTCTTCAGGGTTTTTAGTCCACAAGCAATCCTTTACCTTGGTCCCAATCCTCCTGACCCCCTTTGTAGCCTCAATCCCTGACCTCTTTTGGATTCACATTCTGTCTTTCCTCCCCTTCATCACTGCTCCAATTTTCCTCCCTGCTTTCCTTCTTATCTCCTTCAGCCCTCCACTTAAAAAACTACAGGTTTCATGTAACCTAACTCTTTCAGATCACTCTAGCAACGTCTCCTCAGTCGTCCTCTGTGTTGTGTCCGTTGACTAGACCGGACTCCCAGCGCTGCACCAGAGAAGTCTTCTGTCTGGGGGTCAGGGAACCCTGGAGGACCTGGGTAAAAAGATGTGAAAGCAGGAGTTATTAGTGAATGCAAGGTTAAAAGGAGGGAGATAAAATGCTGCATAAAAGAGGGAGAAGAGAAATAATTAAAGAGTAGAAACATCAGATGTGTTGTAGCAGGAGACAGGACCAGTGAGCCAACACAGGGAAAAAGGAGCAAAAAAGATAAAAGGAAATGGGTGAGTATATTTCCTCTAGAGGACATCTCTTTGGATGAGCATCATTAGCTCTGCATGTCAGAGGGAGGTTAATGCAACTGTGATCCAAGGCCGTGTTTGCTAAGAGTCAGTCAACAACTGAGGCCATTTCCCCTGCAATCCCCTGTGTATTCCTGAACTTTAATCAGAAACCAGGTCTGTGCAGAGAGCAGATAACCAACCAGCAGAGAGAGAGGAGAAGAGAGAGGCATGAGGCGGAGAGAGGAAACAGAGCAAAACGTTGCTAATGCCACCGTCAAACCAGCATATCATTGACAAACTGAATTGAAGGAGAAGCACTCGACTCTAATCAGAGATAGCACAGTTTCAAAGAGATGCAAGACCCACAAGGCAGGTACCGAAAATCAGTGGGATTGTCAATTTACTTTCATTTTTCTTCGGTATTGACTGCACACAACACACACACACACACACACACACACACACACACACACACACACACACACACACACACACACACACACACACACACACACACACACACACACACACACACACACACACACACACACACACACACACACACACAGAGACTCCTTCTCTCGCTCCCTGTCTGTCCCAAGGCTGTTTGCCTTCTTCCCTTATCTATAAAGATAAGCTCCTTACTGTGTGTTCAGTATGTTATCAGATGTCTGTGGCCCATATTTGCTGCTGACGTCTTCCCAAACGCCTTTCTTCATTAAACCTTTTACAATCCAGTTCAGTTTTAAGCATACGTTCATATCCCCAGCAACTCCCTAAACCCCCCAAAGCAACTGCAATTCATATATGAACTCTCAGTTAAAGAAGAAGGAACGCGATATCCTTTTAACTGCATTCGAGGAAGACCTACAGTAGTAAGATGTTTTGCCTACGTTTGCATGTCCAATACCAAGAGTACCAGATAGGTAGGGTTGGCATTTCGAATGTACTGTATATAGAAAATAATACCTAATGAGGCCTGGTATTATTTCTACATGGTCCAATGCTTAGTGTCATACCAAGCAGTAGTATAAAGGCAATGTTAATGTATAAACTTTATTGCAATAGAAATGAGCGGCTAAGGTGACTCACCTCTGGCCGGTTAATCTTCTCCTCTTCAGACTGGGGCGGGGGCCACATGCCTAACCTGCCAACTGACTGGCGTGCTGCAAGAGAAAGAAAGAATATTAAGTGGGTGAGGGCAGGAAAAGCAAGGCACCAAAGAGGCAAAAGTGTTCCTGTGACTTTGTCTGTGCTAAACAATAAAGCCTCTTTGAATCAAATTAAGAGTAAATGTGGTGTGGCAGCACAGTGAAATGAAAGGAGAGGAACACAAAGGGAATTTAGGGAAAGACCTTTGTTTGAAGGTCATGAAAGAATATGAAAATAATGAATTGTCTATATAACAATATATGATTGTTCATCTCCCAACACTGAGTCATGGTCATTCAGGGCCTGTAGCACACCCTGATGGGTTTGTCACGCAGTTGTTGCACCAACGATGACGGGCGACACTTTCATTAAAATGCAGCCTAAAAGAAAACACGAATGGCAACCATCCCTGCCAACAAAACACAAACATACTGTCCAGCAGTCTGCTGTCTGAAGTTTCTCACAGCCCTGTGAAACAACCAAATGAGTTATTTGGCTTAACTTAAAACTGGGCGTTGCTTAACACTATTATATATAATCATACAAAAGCTCATATTGTTATTAAATGATTAGGACAGCTTGCTCAAGTTAGCATTCTAGTACACTTAGAGCAGAAGCTATTCATTCATTACTTTCAACCATTTACCATTTGACCTCTCTACTTGCTGGTTCTGGTGTTACACGTGACTATGTTGCCTTATTTGTTTAATCTAATAATATATACATATATATGAATACATACAGCAGAAGTATCCCCTTTCGGTACAAGTAACCCTGTTAGGGAATCACTGTAACACATACAGACAATGGCAGCAAAGTTGAAATTGCAAGAGGAAACTTGTCTTCTCAGCACGCTGAATTGGCAGCACTCTATTTCAAATGTGCTTTTGTTGTCCCTACACTGACTATAACCATAATAACTAAGAAAAAGCAAGTTCTATGCACTTTTTCTCCCAAAATTGGACTTTTTCAAAGTGCTCCTCTCTAGCTGACACAATAAAGTGTCGAGATATGACTCAGGACTTTTCTTCACCGCAGCTTTCGCAATTAATTTGACAGACTAGATGCTTTATTGTGGAGTAACAGAATCGTATTTTCTTGTCCGGCAGCTTATGGTCTCCAGTGTAAAATTATTGCTCATAACGGCTAACAATGATTTGGAAAGCTGTTTTGAGGTTTTCCACTGACCATGAGAAAAATGAAATAACGTGCTTGCGGAGCTGGTTCAGGGGGTTTTCATCACCTCAGCACAGATATAAAAGAAAATACCCTCATACCCACACAAAAAGGATACACACATATTGTTTGAGTGGGCTTATGGGCAGAATCAATCATCCCATACACACACTCCACTAACCTGCCGTGGGTCTCGTTCCCCGTCTGGATGATGAGGCGGGTAATTCAGGAACAGCCAGTCCATTCAGTGAAGAAGAAGATAACGTGGGAGTCTTTCCTTCTGCAATGACTGGCCCCCCACCTCCCCCTGCTCCCTTTGGGCCCTCTGTGCCCCCATACAGGCTGATCCTCTGCTTGTGAAGCTCCTTCTCCCTCTCCTGAGCCTCCCGGATATCCTTCTCTACTTTAACCAAATTTGTTGAGGAGCGCAGCTTGAAAAAGGGGTTCTCCTTGGGTGCCCCCTCGTCTTCTCCCTCCTCCTTTTCGTGCTCTCTCACTTTAATCCCATCATGGCCTCCTGTTCTGAACGATGTGAAGTTAGATCTTCCAGAGTCGACGACAGTGACGGGCTGTGCCTCTGGCTTGGCGTGGTAGAGCTTCAGCGCTGGGACACTCAGATTGTTCTCCAGGATAATAACCTGACAGCCTTTCCCCTCAGAATAGCCCGCTCCTCGTGGAGTGCCCCCCCCTTTTGCTAGGTTTTGACTCTGTGTGTTAATCCTCTCCACATGTGAGCCTCTTATGGTGGACGCCTGTGATGAGATGTCCTCCTGGTCCTCCAGGGTTGAAATGTCACTGACAGAGGACCAGGACATGGCCTGACTCCTGGTTGACAGACTTAGAGTTGAGTCATCCGGCTTCTGAAAGGCCTCAAAAAGTTGTTTTCTGTCTTTGAGTTGGCGTACCGTGCCTTTGTCATAGAAACCTGGAACTGTTCCAAGCTTCACCAGATCCTGCTCCCTCTGGGTCTCCTCGTGGATCTCTTGCTGCATCTTCTTGCCTGCAAACTGCCTGTCTTTGCCTTGACACCTCTCAGAGTTTAGAGTGATAGACTGGCAGAGAATAGTTTTCCTCAGAGGGATCTCTACATACTCTGGTGCTGTAGGTGGATTTGGTAGCCCTCTGGACCTTCTCAGGCTGTGTTCACGCTCTATAGCCCGTCGGATCTCCCTCTCAATGGGAGTCTCTTTGGGTGCCGCTGCTGGAGAGATGGTGGTGTTGCCCTCCAAAGTGCTGCATGGGGAGAAGTCAGCTGAAACCCCACTGTCACTCTGGCTGTCATCATACAAGTCACTCTCCATCCTGGTGTGTTTAGTATACACAAAGCTGTGATTTCCTGGCTTAATCTCTTGTGCTCGGTGTGTTTTTGTTAACAGTCCTCCACCGTGTTGCTGCTCAAGCAACCTGTTCCTTTCAAGTCCTCTTTCTCTCTGCCCTCCCTCTCCACCTGTTTGCTTGCTCTCTCCCTCTGTGCTTTCCCCCGCCCCACTGTGCCTTTCTCTCACAGCTACCAAACAACCGGGGCCTTGAGAAGCTGCCCCGCCCCATTTACACAGCTCCATGGCAACAGTTGACAAAGGTGAGGAGCTCTGGCCGTGCACCTGTTGTGCCGCTTCCTGGTTTTCTCCCCTGGGGGCAGGTTCACTTGGACTCTGGGACAACAGCTCCTCCTGATGTTCGACAGAGGGAACTGTAGAGGAGGTTGGGTCTTGTTCATAGGCAGAATATGAGGCCTCGAAAGACTTGGATCTTGATTGCTGTTGACAAGACATAATATCTATGCTCACTTCCTCTTTTTCCAAGCTTTTATCAGCAAAAGGAGCAGAGCACTCATCATCTGAGTTGTTTCTATCAGAGGGAGAATGATGAACAGTTGAATTTATTGTGGCGACGGAAACCCTTGACATATTATCTGGTTCACTGTTGAAACTATCCTGTAAGACGTTCAGCTGTGAGCTATTTTCCTCTGTTCTCATATTATCTCCTGTCATCGCCTCAGGTGATGAATCTGTTTCTCTTGTTACCGGCTCAGGGAGAAGAGGAGGCCCTTCTGGACTAATCTGTCTATCAGGAGATGGAGGCTTTTCTATTGGGTCTGATATGATCTCAGCATCACTGATCCACGTAGCCACCTCCCCCTCTAGGCTAGAAAAGCTCTCTTTCTCAAAGCAGTCCTCTGTTGATGGAGCACTAATAAAGGCTGGAGGAGGCGGGAAAGCATCCTCACATGGATCAGTAGACTTCTCCGATTCCTCTTGAGCCTGTAATGCTTCTGAAAGTTGGGCAGCTTGTTCTAATTCTGTCACCATCTCTTGTCTCTCCCTGGGGGTGCACACACAAATTCTTGTTAATTCCTGGTTTTCTGATTCAGTTGCATCAGCTGTGTCGTTAGGCGAGCATCGAGCTCCAGGCTCCTGGACGTTTATGTCCTCTTCAGGTTCTGCCCTGGGAGCCTCTTTATCTTGCAGTGGGGAGTCATGGCTTTTGGTTGCACCTGCTACACCTTGAGCCCAGAACTCATTGACCCCCTCCTCTAGTGTGTTGAGAGGACCCTCATCCTGCCAGGCCAATGGCTTTGTTGCCATGGTGACAAGTCTGCTGATGTAAAACCGTTTTGAGCAATCCGAATGTTCGGCCTCCAGCCAGTCACTGAGGGAAAGCAGAGAAACACACAGAGGAAAAGGGGGAATAACATAGTGATTATCCGAGATTACCAACCAACACAATTTTATACCGCATTATTTCATCACAGATTAAATAAATTACTGAATTTACCAAGTGAATGAATCATCGCACTGTATTTACTGTGACATTTACTGTGACATTTACTGTGGAAAAGAAATGAAATGCCAAGAGCTTTTAATCCGCCTTCACCCTGTGTTACAGCACTGCAGCTAGGACAACGAACCTCACGTTTAAAAATAAATGTTGAATATACGAAATAAACAAAGAATCATTTCAAAAATTGCTTTTCATTTTATCTAGTGCTTGTGGTAACCTAACTAGGACCCTTTATGTTGTTTTTTCTTTTAATGTTTCATCCGTTTGTGTGCAAATCATTGTTTACTGCATACCAGTTAGTGCAGGATTAGAGCAATTAGTTGATGTGTAGTACCATGGTGTCCTATATTTTAATGGCAGAGCTCGGTTGTCGACAAGCAGACTCTTAATAACTGTTCCTCTTTTTGGAAGTTACTCCACTGTGCATCGTATAACGTTTTCTGCTGAACACACCTTTCTTTAATCTCACACACACACACACACACACACACACACACACACACACACACACACACACACACACACACACACACACACACACACACACACACACACACACACACACAGTCTCTGATGAGGCACTGGGACACATGCACTGATACAATAGATGCATAGTTAGATAGAGATTTGCAGTACAGCTCAACCTTCATGTACAGAAAACAAGGACTGAACTTGACATTGTTAGACAAATGTGGAACACTATTGCAATGATGGCAGAGCATGTAGGCACCAAAGCAGAACAAGAACCAGAACAAGTGGGGCCTAATGTGGGTAAATTAGGATGAGGGCAGTGAGTCATGACAGACACTGTTTACAACCAAACAATGGTTGGATGGGGGAACCACTCACCAGATTCACACAACTTTTTCTGGGCTGTTTTCTTATATTTGCTATTGTAAATGTGTTTTTGTTTAATGTCCTATAGTCTACAGGATGAAGAAACAACTTATAATAGATTCAGAATTGGTCATTGTTTTAAATCAGTACCCATTATGAAATGTGTCTGTCACACTGGCTGTTTTTTCAAGGGATGTGAGTGGGAGGGGAGAGTTGGCATTCCCACAAAGTCATCACTGTGTCTGAGACTCAATCATTGACTGTGTTTTGTGATTGCCAGAAAATAACAGGAGAAGACTTTGTTATATTCAGTAACTTGGGTAAAATAAGATAGGCTATACCACATGTTAACACCGGTCATGCAATTCATTAAAGATGCATAATATGTTACTCATTGAATGAGAGTTGAAGGTGAAGTTTCATGAAATGGTGAGGCAAAACTAGTGTTTTGTCACAGGGAGAGGGCCATCGAACACTGAAATCTATTGCAAATCTCTGCTTAAACAGTTTTATTCACCCACCCCTGCTGATTCAGATGAAAATCCTGCTAAAAACAAGCAAGCTTAAATGTTTAATATGATCATCCTGCAATGCTACAGTAGTGAAACAATCCCCTTATTGATATTAAGGTATGGTAATCCAATTTGATACTCTTGTTGTAAACTCTGGCAAGCCCTAATGAGATATTTCCCTTGCAGTTTGTAGATTAGATTCAATAAACTCAGGGCGTTATTTATAATATGACATGCTGTTCTGTTTTGTGTTCCAAAACGCTCGGAGAAAACTGGCAGAATATAACCTAATGTTCTCCAACTCTCTTTTTGGGTAAGAGAGGTTACTGAAGTTTTTGGATTAAAACTCCATTATGCAACAGACTTATGTTTTGCTCATTATCTGCAAAGGAGCTCACTTTATGAAAAGAACAATTAAATCATGATCATCATTAAAAAATACATTTGTGATGGCCTTACAAATAAACGTGCTCTACTTTCTGTGGTCAGCAGTGTCCTAACGAAGTTTAACATGAGGGCGTTTGACAAAAATGCTAATTATTTTCATAGATGCAGCCAACTTCCTCCCTAATTAAAAATCTTCTGCTGTCTAATGGTTGCTGACATAGTGATATGCTCATTTTTCAGTCTCTGACTTAAATATGCATTAGTAACTGTGGCAAAAAGAAACAGCAGGAAAATCCAGTCTCTGCAGGCTTGGCTCTTAGAATCATTTCTGTTACGCAGTTGTTTTCAAAGGTAATTTCTCCCCTGATTGGCATATAATTGAGGCAGGTGTCCAGTAACTTCAAGATGAACCAAACAATTAAAATACAGAAAACTATAATATACACTTGCACATACCTGGTAACAAAACGCTTTGAAGATGCCCTCCAAATGACAGACACTCATTTCTGAGTAAGCACAGTTGTCTTGTTTCAGGTCACTGTTGTTGAATCACCACAGAATGAATGTTATTGCTAACAGCTCCACCGCCCTGCTGCCTGTCTCTCCTCCCCTGCCCACAGTAACACCTTCAGTACACCAATCGTGCACGCCCACATTTGCATACCATGCTCACACAGCAAACATCCACTAGCACTGAATGGGCACTAACACTAAGTGCTAGAGGCTTACCCTATTGTTGTGGATTTTAAAATGTATAGTACTAATCCAATTAGCATGTATCACAGTAATTATTGTAGCATGCAAGTGAGTGAGGAATGTCCCAGAGGGATAAGAAGTGATTATATAATTCCAGCATTTAATGTTGTCCTCTTATATCCCGGGGGGAAACTGTAATTTATTCTGTAGTTTCGTTACATTACATTTCCAAATTAATTACATAAAGAGTTTAGTTTAAGATGTATTTTACAGCACACTGATATGTTCATTTATATTTATTTATTTATTAACAGATTGTACAAGTATTCAGCATTAGTTTTTGAACATGTTTTTTATTATTTTGTAATCATGACAGAACATTTTGAGAAAAATACTGAGATGTCCACATATTTAAAGAAAGAAAACAGATTGTTCTGTCTGCTGCATTACATTTGCTAAATGAAAACAGGTATGAATAGAAAGTGAGATTCATCATGTCATGCGTTGGATTCAAGAAATTGATTTTGGGCGAAATATCTCCATGCCAAATAAATATGTACTTATTTTATTGATCTACAAGCCCTAATATCAAAATCAATATATGTGGAAATATTCAATCTTAACAAAGCACCAAGCAATTCAGTCACACTTAATTCCTATACTGCGTGATAGAATATCATGAACAAATGTGCCAAAGTCCCTCAGGCCTTTTGTTCCTCAGTTGTCTCCTCAACCTGAGCTTCTGTTGGTTCGCTCTCAGGTTGGTCTGGACAGGACTCCTTGGTTGGATCCATCACAACAGGTGTAGGCAGCCTATAACAGTTCAGCTGATGCCTGAACTCCTCCAACTCCTTCTGCTCCACCTCCCTCCTCCTGCTCAGCAGATACATGTCCATAGATCTCCTCTTACTTGACTGCACAATCCACCGCATAACGACACAGTCTGGACAGGAAGTATAGAGGAAGTCCCCGGTGAGGTTGAAGCGATTCCCCACATTGAAGGTGAAGGCGCTGCCCTCGACAGTGATGTTGTAGCGTAGGTACTGGCATTGATCACCAAAGCGGTTGATTTGTGTGTAAGAGAAATTGGGAGCTTCACCTGAGTTGGAGAAGAACATAGTGATGCTGTCTCTCAGCTTCAGGGCCTCCATGGATGGTGCATGGTTGAGACTTCCTGCTACTAGAGCCCATCCTCCCTCAAAATGATGAGGATCCAGCTGACCCAAAGGATGGACCAGTCTTTCACAGACCATAGGAGCTGATTGGCTCACGGACAGCAAGCAGAGGAGAACACTGGCCAACAAAGCATACATGTTGCAATTATACAGATTCTGCGATGATTTAGAGAACTCTGCTTTCGATCAGTGGCTCTGTTGTTACCTCTCACCAAGAGTGGAGCTGGTTTAGATGGGCTCTCCATTTTTATAGTTCAACTTGGATCAAGAATGTCCAGTATTGCAACACAGTACAAGTGAATGATCCTGACTGTGTATTCCTGTATTGTGCAATTATAGAAAGTTCGAAAACTAGTTGTACTGTTTTTTGGTTCTCTCTCACTTCAGGTGTTTACCGGAAATAACACATTGTTTGATGTAGAAAAGAGATCATCAGTCTCCAATATTGTATGTTTCTTAAAGTAATTATACAGAGTCAAGGACAAAATTAAGAATGTTCTGTTCTTGCCTTGGTAGAAAAAAATATGGGATGAGCTGAGATAAAGCCTTATTATTTATATATTATTTTATAGAGGCTTTGTCACTGGCATATTATAAATTACATTGATTAGTAGGGATGTGTAGTGAATGACACTGAAGAAAAGAGATAAGACTCCTCCAGTGTTCAACCCTGGCTCTTAAGAAGTACACACAATATGACATATGTAAATGTAGTCAATTTCTACATTAACTATACAACTATTGTTCGAAAGACTAGTTCCAGTAACTCAGAGAAAATACATAATGTTTCCTGTGTTATATGCCATTCTTGTTTCACTTAACGGAAATAATTCATTCATTCTGTAAAATGCACTGTATGTAAGGGACGCAAGAGATCTATGGGCTTACATTACATTTGTCCACTTATGTGAGAGATAAAGTGTACAAATATATCAGTGTTATTGCATTATTTATAACGTTTGGGTATCACTATATACATGTATGTTTCCAGGAAATGCTTTCAGATAAATAGTAGTTAATGCAAATGTCTAAAGTCAAAGATGAATCTTGATTGAATGAATCTGGGCCAAATTTGACCCAGTCACCCAAAAACAATTCGGCTGGGTCTCCCCAGACCCTAACACCAAATTATACACTTTTTTTTTAGAGACCTTCAGACTTGGCTCAAATTGTCAAAATCAGTTTTGTAGTGTTTATATACAGTAGCTGTTGTGGAGGATATCATGAAGCCTTGTTCTGATAAAAAAAACTAAAGCATAGTTATTATATCATTTTAACTTTAAACGGGTCACGGGAGACCCGAACACAACATAAGGGTTAAAACTGCATGACATCTAAATACATTTAATTTTCTTTTTGAGGGCAGTGCTTGGTGGCAATTTACAGAATTTGAACTTTTAGCCTCAAATAAACAAGCTTGCACAAACCTGCTTCTTCCAACAAAAAAAATGAATCATTCCTGTCAAACAGAGAGGGTTATTGATCCATACCGTTATATTTTTACGCCTAGATAATGCAATTCTATTTAATCCCGTTTAAGCAATAAACCGTCCAGCATGCAACTCGTGCAAAACTCTACAGCCAGGCTGTTAACTAAATCAAATAAATCCTCGCATCCTTTCACTGGCGGCCATGAAGCACAGAATGGACTTCATCAGACTTCATCTTCGTATCACTTTATGTACACTGTGAAGTACTTTGCAACTGTGTTTCTAAAGGTGCTTTATAAATAACATCTTACTTAATTATAACGTCTGACAGATGCTGATGTGCTGAACTTTGTTTTCAGTTGGACATAATTTGTAACTAGATTAAAGAGTAAGCGTTTTTATTTGAACTGCATGCAATACAAACTCATGAATTAATGAAGTGCAATTTCTACAGCTGGAATATGACTTTATAAATATGCAAACCATTCAACCACAAAGGCTGATAAGAGAGGCATTGTTCTAATCTTATCATTGGAGGTGTGTAAAACTTCTCAGATCAATGACTGAGGCTCATTCTTATATTTCAAAATGTGATACTGAGGTGGGAAAGATTCTTCTTAATTAAAAAACAATCAAGGGTCGAGTTGGTTTTATAGTACAACTTGCAAGAGACTACAGTTTTGCAGAAAAACATAGTTATCCATTATCTAGCTGTAATCCCCGTTATTGTGCAATGAAAGAAAGTTCGATTTTTTTCTGGGAAATATCAATGTTTGCATTGAATAACTCCATTAACCTCTGAATGTGCAATATCCTCTTGCCTATGTGTTAGAGAAATACAGTAGAGAGCATAAATAAGTATTGTGTTATTTCCCTTAAGAGCGGGATTAGGGCTACAACTAACAATTATTAACATTATAGATTCTCTTTTTAACTAAGAACACAGCCTCTTCAGGAATCAAACACAATACAATATTCAAGTTTCTAAACATTTAGCAAGTTCCAGGATACATTTTATTTGAATTGTGAATTGTGAATGCATTCAATAATTTCATGAATGAATAAAGTGCAATTCTAAAGCTGGATGTGTGTATGATTTATTTGTTATAAATATGCAAACCATTCAATCACCAAGGCTGATAATAGAGGCCTTGTCCTAATCTAATACTGGGAGGTTTGTGCAACTCAGATCAATAACTGAGCCTCATTGTCATATTTGAAAATACATTTAAAAATGTGATTATGAGGTGGGGAAAATATACTTCTCAATTAAAAAACAGAACCAAATGACATTGAAATATTTTAGTTTTATTGACACGTTATTGACCCAATATCGTCAATGATCATGAGGCAAAGTATCTCAGGCTGTTGTTTCCCATCAGTCTTCAGAAGCTGCTGAATGACGATCGCTCTGCTCTGGACAAAGCTCTTTGGTAGGATCCATCATAACAGGTGGAAGCAACTTCAGACACTCCACCTGAGCTCTGAACTCCTCCACCTTCTCCTGCTCCACCTCTCTCCTCCTGCTGAACAGGTACAAACGCAGGGTTTTCTGCGACTCGTTGTCAAAGCGCATCACCAGACAGTCTGGACAGGAAGTGTGGAGGAACCTCACAGTGTGGTTGCTCTGATCGTAGGTGAAGCTGCTTTCTCCTAGTGTGATGTTGGAGTGCATATATTGACAGCTGTCACCAAAACCAAAGATGCGAGTCAAGGACATCTTGGAGCTTTCGCTGGTATTGGCAAAGTTGAGGCTGGCACTGTCTCTGCTTTTGAAGCTCTCGACATGTGATAGGTCACACATACCGCCGATAACTAAAAGCCGTATTCCCTCCAAATGACGAGCATCCAGCTGATCCAAAGGCCGGAGCAAGTCTTCACAACCCAGAGGAGCTGCATGGCTCACAGACATCAGACACAGGAGAGTGATGACATTCACAGCAAACATGGCTTTATGTTATGAAATACTGTCTGCTGTCTTTTGTTTTGTCCGCAAGCAACACTGAATAACTGAGATTAAAATGGTGAAAAGGCCAGGCTGATTTTATAGTGAGACCTCCAGTTTCATAATACTGCCAATGCCAAAGAGCAGAGTCCTCTTTTCCTCTGGTTGTGAAATGAGGGAATGTTTTGAGTGCTGGGATTATTAAATATTTACACTGGTTGAATCACTTTTACTGAAATTGTGGTGTTTTCGTTGTATCACTGTTGGAGTCTAATTGATTGGCAATTGTGCAAGTTCTAAAAAAATGTATTCAGATTTTCCAAATGTTGTGTTGTCATGTAAAATAATTCTATAAAATGCAATTCCAGATTATTTCACAGACAGTACTTTAACGTTGTGGTCTTGGAATGAAATTATAATATATTTATTTTCTCATGGTATTTTAGTAATTAATAAAAACCCAGACACACATCCAGCACCAGACACTTTAACTACACTGCTATGGACAATCATTTTCACTAGTGTACATATTTTATTATTATATTATTATTATGATATCTTCATCCATTTATTAGTGACTGTTATTAATTTTATATTGTTGTGCCTTTATATTTTTATCTTTTATTGATGCTTCTTAATGTGGGTTTTAGTATACATAT